CTGTGAACCCAGACACCCTTTGCTAACCCTGAGGCTGCTCACACAATCCTCAAGAGAGTTAATTAATAAGACATCAGCAAAATTAAAAGGTATTAAATTTCAAAAGGCACTATTAAGAAAATAAAAAGACCAACTCGAGAGAAAATGTTTGCAAAGCATATGTCTGATAAAGGACTGGTATCCACAATATATAATGATCTTTTACATTTCAGTAATTAGAAAAAAATGCCATTTTTAAATAAGCAAAAAATGAGTAGATATAACTGCAAGGAAGGTACACATATTGCAATGGGCACGTGACACGATGCTCAATACTATTAACTATTATGGAGAATAGTTAATGAGACGCCTATACACACCAGCTAACATGGCCACAATTTAAAAAAAGATAATGACAGGTTTGGGTAAAAATATAGAGAAACTGGAGCCCTTATACATGGCAAGAGAGGATGTAGGATTGTATAGCTATTTTAGAAAGCAGTTTGACTGCAGCTGGGGTGTCACACAAATGTAATCCTAGTACTCAGGAGGCTGAGGCAGAAGGATCATGAGTTTGAAGCCAGTGTGGGCTACACAGTAAGACCCTGTCTCAAACAAAGCACAACAAAACTAGTTTGGTTATTTCCTTTAAATCAATCATGAATTTACCATACAACCCAGACATTCCACCCCTAGAAATCTACCCAAGACAAATGAAGATACGGCCACACAGGCACGTATATCTGCACATTTTTTCCTAAGAGCCCCAAACTGGAAATAGTTCAAATGCTCATCAACTGATAAAAATATTAGCAAAAAACAGTATTTGTAAAAAAGGAAAGTACTGATGCATGTAAAGACATTACTCCAGATGCAAGACATGCATACTGTATGATTCCATTTATAAGCGATGTCCAGAAAAGGCAAACTTCTACAGGCAGGAAGCAGATCAGTGTTGGCTTAAGGTGAGGAGTTAGAGTAAGGATTATCTGCAAATGGGTACTAGGGACCTTTCTGGAAGAACATGGAAATGTTCTTAAACTGGATGGGAGGCTATGAAATGTGATGTATGTAAAGTGTATCTCAATAAAACTTGCTGAAAAAAACAGAATTTTTAACCAGTCAAATGTGTCCATCTTACCTGGACTTCTAGGTCCCACTCCTTTGCAAGTTTTTGAGACTTATGCAAACCAATGAAAAATATATTTAATAAGATTATTCAAGAATGTTCCCCAAACTTACCACTCTTCTAGCCCCCATCTGAAGTTTAAAATTACATATTCTTGAACAGAAATCCATCTGGATCCTTTAAATTCAAGTTGGATGAACAGTAGAAAGGAGGGTCTGAGAGTTGATTGATACCAGCCACAACCCAGACCTTGTGGGCTTTAAGTTGACAGAGTAGAGAGCAGCCTGAGATTCCATTCTCTCACTAAAGAAGGCAGCATGACAGTCTCAAGGATTTCTCTGTGGGCAGCCCACATCCTTTGTACATGTTACGGAATCAGAATGGATTCTCTCAGGTCCTTTTGAACCCACCGTACATCATCAGAAAATGTTCCTTTCATCAACTTTAACTGTTTTTGATTCTTAGTTGATGATTTAAAGAAGGCTCTCCACTTCAGTACATGAAGACAAGATTACAGTAGGACAAGCTGCTAATTTGGGTTCAATTGCTGACCTGATTTCTGTACTGCATAGGCTCTCAAGGAGATCCCCTTCTGGATTAGTGAATTTAAACATTTTAAGTCTCAAGAGGAAACAGAGCTTGGGCTGTGGACAAACAGGCGCCTGGATGGAGGTCAGATGATGATGTACTGAGTTCTGTTTTCATATACACGTGAGGATTTTATATCTGTCACCACCCTGATCACAAATCCACTTTGTAGGACATTTACCTGTGTTGTCCCTGTCTCTGTTTTTCTTCTTTCTGTAACATAGCACGGGGGTGGGTGTACTGCCGTATACATTCCAGGTTTGCGGGAGTGAATTGTTGGGCTATCTTCCATTTAAGGAAGACTTAAGTACCACCACCTAAAGCCACCATAGCTGAAGCAGTGATTATCTTTCTACAAATCATCCCAGCCCATCCCTTCCCACACAGATGGGCAACAGGAGAAAAGCAGATGTGAAAAAAGGTAACCCAGGACTGCAGGTCAGCTGCTTTATGCTGGACACAAATCAGGGCACATTCATGGTTTCTCTGACTCCTTAAAACAGCCCCCATAGCAAGGAATATGAAGCCTGCGTTAGAGCAAAATGGAACTCTGGTACAGGGGCTGTCCAAGAGATAAGTGGGAGTGTGCATGGTGGACCCCTTAGACTCCAAACTCATTTGGTCAGAAGCCTGAGTGTCTACAGAGTGCAGGCTTCTGTCCAGAGACTGGGAACACAATGGCTGACCAAACAGGCTCTACTTGGCCTCCACAGCTTGAAGTTCTAGTAGGGAGTCAGTGATTCACAAAAATATGTGTCACAACAAACTCTGGTACATCCCACAGAAGTTCAGTGCTCTTCAAGAAGACTTCACTTCTCAACAAAACAGATACTTGAGTGTCAACAGAATTTATCTCTTGCCCTGAAGACATCACTGCCGGGGTGGGTAATGGAATACACATATGTATGTCGCTATTTTGTAAACACTAATTCAGTGAGAGTATTTCTTCTCCAATGATAAAAATGGCACAACAAAGTCAAAACATGGTTCGTTTTGGTTTTATTTTCCTATCTCATTTCAGTAAAAAGATTCAAAGAACTGACACATATCATAAATTTTCACCCATGTACAGTATATACACACTGTTGCTACTTTTTCTTTTTCACTGAACAAAGTGACACTATCTTTGTTCAAATCAAAGTGCAAATGAAGAGATACTATAAATGAAAAAAATGGTGGGGTGGCCTTTTTATTCTCAGACAATAACCGTGTATGCATTAATACAGGGAAAAACACTAGAGAAACATTTGGATCTCGCAGATTAAAAAGTCAAGCATTAGGTACCACTAGAGTACCTTCCCAAATAGCAAATTTGGAACAATTAGCCATTAAATTCCTAGTTTTTCATTTTCCCATCACAACACCACTATATTGGAATTTAAGCCCCCTTCCCAGTGCAAATATAAAAACGATCAAAGTCAGGATTTTATGGCAATCATTTGCTAAAATATAGTCTATTTTAATATATATGCTATAAAAGTATGCTAAAAAGGTTAATCTTTGGAACCCTGTTAAGAATTTACATTTTTATATATAGAATAATGTACATCCAATTCTAAAAAGTATAACTGAGAAAAGCTTTTACTGTGATTCCAAATATTTCTAGTTTCATACTTTGTTTATAATATTGATTTTATAATACAGGTATTTAGTAATGTTCTCATAATTCTGTCTTGCAATGACTCTCCAATTACTTTAAATAAAAACATAAGACAGAGATGTATCTTCAAGGAGTTTTTACTTGTGTAAACTACAAAGTTCCAATGTAAGTTCCTATCACAAACTTTTCATTGTATTTTTCTTTAAACTTTGGTATCCCAAATTCTTTTATGAGCAACATTTGGAGCTATTAATAGGACAAATAAAAGCACAAGATGGTAAAAATTAATTTGTATATGGCCTGATTTAAAAAGTGATCATCCCCTCCTGTGATCACATTTTCAGTGCCAATTGTAGATTTTATGGAGTAGTAGTGGAAAATAATGCTGGCTGAAATCACCAGTGGCGGTGAACAGGCCGGACCAGACAATGGGACTCTTGGTGCTGAGTGCAATGGTATATATTACAGTCATGACGAGGATGAGGGCTATAGGCTTATTGCTAGAGCCCAGGCGTATCTGTAATCTTTTATTTTGTGAATACTAGTAGGATGGAATATAAAATAATTGAAATCTGTTTCTGACTTAAACAAGAATATTTACTTTTCATTAGTAAAACACTCTTTAAAATATATGTGTTCCCCCACCCACACCCCCTGAACATTTCACTGGGAGCACTGGGTGATTTTTAAAGGTTTATTGCCAACTATTCAATACATGAAATATGGCTGTAGAGAGTACACTGCGACAGGAGCTGATTTACGTCCACTGATGAGAAATTTACTCTTGTATGGTTACAGTGTCCAGTCCACCAAAGGAAAGGTTTGGCATCTGTGTGCTTTTTGTTCTTTGTAGGAATCACTTCTGCTTGATTTTCATTCTGAGAAGAAACAATCAGCTGATGTCCTCAGATCTTATGACATGATGGGGATGAACAATGGGACAAAGATTAACTGCTATCAAGGAGACAGTCTGGAATTGGGTCTCCAGACACATCTTCCTCCTTTCCAGGTGAGTCTCCAAAGTGTTGCACTGGAAACCAGGGCCCAAGCATCCAGGACACAGATGTGCAGTGCTTCCTGCAGACAGGCCACTCCTGCTCAGTAGAGCATCCCTTACTCATGGCCTCGGATACCAACCTTGCTATGTGCTGGCAGAGCTTAGAAAGATCAGTTCACAGGGAGAAGGAAGCAGAGGACTCAAGCAGAAGGAGGCCCAAGCCACAAGACATTGCCTTCCGCTGCCTCCTGAGCTATTGTCTGTTTCTGAGATTGTCTGTGGAGGATCCAGACCTGGTGCTCTTCAGGCAGAATTCTTCCTTTCTCTTGGAAGGGTTTTGTGAGGTCATGGTATTTCAAACCATTTTACCAAGAAGCAGAATTTGATGCCTACTTTTTCTAACAAATTAGTAATAGCAAAAATTTCAGCCTCCCTCTACTGAACCTTCCTAAAAGCAGAATGTTCCCTTCTGGCAAAGGATTACTTCTTTAAAAAGTAGATGGCTGGGCTGGAGGATAGCTCAATGGGAGAGCACTTGACTAGCATGTGCAGGCCCTGGATTTGATCCCCAGCATCACAACAACAACAAAACCAAAACAAAACAAAACAAAAAACAAGGGGGTGGGGGAAGGAAGAAGAAAGGAATGGAGGGAGGGACAGAAGGAATGGAAAGAAAAAAATAAAAATGGATAATCTTTTTCTTTTACCCAACTTAGCCCTTCAGAAAATACTTCAGGCTGTGAGAGGAGGAAGCACAGGAGAAATGACTTCCTGTTGTGCCTTACATAAAACATTCTGCTCAAACTGAAGGGCAGCTCCAAGTGCAAAAGCAAATATTTGTGCAAAAGATCCCACTGCCAGGTGCAATCTGAACACATCCTCAATTTATAGTGTTTGACTCTTTAAAATACAGTATTTTAAATTATGAAACCCAGCAAGTAAGGGGAAGGAAGTCAACATCAGAAAATACATCTTAGAAAAAGTACAGGATATTTTGCTGGCAATGTGCTACTTATTTCATAACATAGATCAAGTAAATATTTGTTAAATATTCACAGTAATTTCAAAGAAACATTCATGTCTGTGAAATTTCAATCTATTGCATTTTCAACCATTTTTCTGTACAGTTACAAGATTTCATGTGTCAGTGCTTTTCTGCAGGATTCCTTATCAGTCCTGCCCTCTTTGGATCCAGTTATACTTTCAAGGTGGGCTGTAAGATTCCTTTCTCAATGAGATGAGTCTTCAGGGTTTTATATATGTTTAACTGCTGTTCTGGTTGAAGCACCAACAGCTGCTGTAGCACTCTGCTGGGATTTGGACCCCTGATGATAGGAAGAAAAAACAAAGATCGTGCTATTTTAATATGGTTAAGTGAAGCATATATCCCCAATTTAAGACTGTCCATTCCTTTCTATACAATAGTAACCTTTGTAGAATTGAAACTCTTGATAAGATTTCATGCTAATGTCCAAAGTTTGTGTCAAGGGAAAAAAAACAAAACTAGAACTAGTCTGTTCTGAGAACCATACAGCCTGAATATGGAAAGAATACCCAAACACAGAATCGCAAGAATATTATGCACTCATGTATGAAAGGAGAAAATGAGACATGTTGAAACTATTCCAGGAATGGGGGGAGGAAGGGATAAAGGAGAATGGTAGAGGGGTGAATTCAACTATGATATATTGTAAGAACTTTTGTAAATGTCACAATGTGACAGCACAACAATGATTAAAAAAAAAAAAGAACACAAGGCAATATAGGTGTATATAAACATACCTTCTACAAAAATTCTCTAAAGGACAACCTGAGCTAAGGGGTGAGGATAAATAAACAAATCTGAAAACTAGACAAGACACACACTCACACAAAACATTCTACAAGGAGCCTGATGGACAGAGGATAAACCAAAAAGAGGGCATGAAAATATAATTAAAACTTTTAGCTTCAAATAAACTTCTAGATGGTAAGAGGTACTTTGTTGATTAAATATCCCCAGGAACTATGAATATTCATTCAAGAGACAAAAATATATGACAGTTCTGACTCTAACAATAAAGTCCCTACTGGGGCTGTATAACAGACACTACAGCTTTTGTTCAAAAAGAATGAAGTAAAGCCCAATGTGGGTTAAAGTTAAATTAAAGTGTTACCTGCTCTATTTGAAAGGAGGCAGGAAGGAAGATACCTTGATCTCCTCACCTGTCTCCCACAGTAGTCTCTTTTGGGAGGTCATGAGGCCACATGGAACCCGGGCAGTGACATCTCAACAGCCCAAGCCAGGGGTCCAACTCAGGTAGCTCCCTTGTGGGTAAGCTATAAGACCTCTGCTCCAGCCCTTCTGTCTGCGACTCTCCTATAGTATACTAGGATCGTGTGAGTCAGGGCAGTACTCCAACCCTCACACCTCTTCCTCCCAGGAGACTACTTCCGTCATGGGATTGCAATTTCCCACCACCTGAACTCAAGAACTGAACCCATTTAAATAAGTTGGAGATCACCTGTGTTTCTGTACGTACATGTCTAAAACACAAGTTTATCAAATTAAGAATGAACCTAATTCAAATCTTAAAGTATATTCTTTGCACCTTTCACAGTCTACTTTAACAGGAAAAGCTGGTTTACTTTTTGTGGAGAGTGACTGGTGAAAGCAAGCCATAAATAATTAATTGGGTAGCACAGAATTCTGAAAAAGACTCACTCACATACATGTGAGTAAGTAAACTTGTTATTTATAATAGAGACTGTTTAAATAGGATAATAGAAGTAGAAATCCCAGCAATGAAGAAGAAATGCCTGCTATAGTGTTATCATGATGAGGATGAACTGTTTGTTCTAGAAATCTTTGATTTAAAGACTGCATAATAGCCCAGCTTAGTAGTCCCATGGATTGGTCACCTTTATGTACCTGGCTCAATTCATGTGCTAAAAAATGGTGGTCATCTGCCTCTCCCAGTCCAAGTCTACCATAGTCACAGCACAGCTTGTTTTAATACTTTATGTCCAAAGATTCAGCAGCTTCATTGCATAAACCTGGGGTAGGTCCCATAGAAGGCTCTTCTAGCAATTGTGGCTAAATGCAAGACGATGTCAGCAGGTGCTCCCAGCTAGCTGCATTGTGGCACCATTGCTGCACTTCTAAGTCTATGTATCTGCTTGCAAGTGGTGGACTACATGGCTCAGCATGGCCTCTTTCTACTAAGAGAATAGCAGGGTTTTTGTTTTGTTTTGTGTTTTAAGAAAGAGTATGTGTTAATGCTTTAACAGGCTGCCATATTCTGAAAATAAGGATTTTGAAGGATTTAACCACTAATTACTAATACCCAAATAAGTCAACAAGGAAACATGCAAATAGGTTAATACTCCAATTAAAAAGATAAGGATAACCAAAGGGGTTATAAAAAATACAAAAAAGTGAGTTATATTGTTTGTTAGAAAAGGAAAACACACCACTAAAAATAAGGACAAAAGAATGCTAAAAATACAAAGAAGTACTATACAGACACAAACCAAAAGAAAGCAGCCAGAGCTATTCTAAAATACAACAATGTAGGCTTTAAGGTAGGTAGAAAAGATGAACACTACATAATGACTGAACGATCAATTCAACACAAAGATATGTCCATCATAAATTTGCATATGCTCAGTACAGCCTCAAAATAGTGCAAAAATTGGCAGAAGTAAACAGAGGAATACATTTATAATCATAGCACAAGAGTTTAACAAAGCTCTCTTAGTAACTGATAGAATAAGCAGACCAAAAAAAAATCCATATGAAAGATTTAATTAAACTTCACCTGACATACACAATACTACATCCCCAAAGTGCAAAATGCACATTTGTTTCATGTGCAGTTAGACCATGTACCAGAATAGATGATGTGCAAGGCCATAGTAAAAGATAAATACTGAAATTGCAAAGAGTACATTTTCCAACCACAGTGGAATTAGGGCAATTATCTTGTTTGTCTGGAAGACAAACAAGAAAATCTTTATTTGTTTGCAAACCAACCAATATAGTTCTAAATAATACATGTGTCAAAGAAGATAATAATACTGGAAATCAGAAAATATTTATAACTAAACAACGAAAATACAGATAGTACAACTTGTAGAATAAAGAGAAAGTTTATAGTCTTAAATGGCTCTGTTAGGCAAGAAGGCTGAAAATAATTTAGGCTTTATCTCAAGAAGCTAGAAAAAGAACAGCAAATTGAACTTTAAAAAAAAAGGAATGAAAACTGACAGTGGAAATCAATACCCTGGAGAAAATTAAAGCCAAAGTTCATTATTTGAAAAGATTAATGAAATTAATAAATTCCCAGTAAGATTGCAACCTCCCTCTTCCCAAAAAGTTAATACAAAAACATTCTTCCACTGCTATAGGCACATATTTAAAATGTATACTTAGGAATATCTAAATTTAAGTTTCACTCTAACGAACCCTATGAGGGAAATCCATATTTTCTGTGGCTCAGGTGCTATTAATAATTATTTGCCTCCCGGGTCCCAGAAGAGACCATGGAAAGTAAAGTTAGCATGTGTTCACTGTGATTAGCTTCACACCCCAAACTGGTGTTTTAGGGAATATCCAAAACACTAAGGTTTAATTAAAAAAAACCACCCTAAATAAAAGAGCAACATTTATTTATCCATTCACTCACCCACCCACTCCTTCCTACTCTCACAGGGGTAATCCCTCTCGCCTGCTTTGTTTTTCTTCATGATATTTATAACCATCTACCAAGCATAAAGCATATACTATTTTGTTAATTTAAGTTGCTCATATGTATGTAAAATAATTACAAATTAACCATTTTTCTCTGAGCTACAATTCCAAAGCCACCATTTACTTCAGTATTAAAGATAAATACTAACAGAAAATGTTAATTTAATCAAGTCACTATCAATGGAAATGAGAGCTCAAAGACATTATGTAACAGACAATGTCTTAAGTACATGAGTACCTTACAAAGCTTGTGATGTACACGTGCACAAACGTTGCCATTAAGTACTGGCAATCAAATCTGTCCATTATCCCACCATGCCCAGGAATGGTGTTTGCGAAATCCTTAGAAACAAACAAACACATTACATCAGATTTGCAACAAGATCACCTGTAGAAAAGTCTTGTCTATAAATGTCTTTTCACCATCATAGACTCTATAAGGAAAATACTATTGCATTTTTCCACTGAATATAAATTTGTTAAAATACATCAAACAGATTAAAACGTTATTTCATTCTTCAATGATTTCTGAAGTGGTCCATAAAACTGTAATAACATTAACTAAACATTAATTAAATCTAGCACTTTTTCTCACTAGTGGAACTTTTTCTAAATAAAAATTCTATCAGCTATCACTACTCTAATTTTACAACATCCTATCCTTCTGTTTAGCACAAAGATATTTGGGAGTTATTTTAGCCTTGTTGACAAATGTACAACTGGTTCTAACTCATGTTTACCCTAATAGTTCTTGCTCTGGAATAAACATTCAACTTCTATGATAAGCATTTCTTCTTTTTTTAAGTGTTGGAGTAAAAAACCAAGTCAAAATAGCTGGTTTATTTGGAACACAGTCCATTAAATGGCCAAATTGAGAGGATGAATGGTAAGTAAACTGCAGACCGACTCATAGATACTTTAGCTGCTAGGAATCCCAGGAAATGGAAATAGCTAATTGCTCTTCTAGCCTCAAGCAACAAAAATCACAAAATGCAATCACACCTACATTTTAAACATGCAAAAGAAAAAAAAAAACCCTCATCTTTCAACAGGACACACTGAATTAGAAACCATTAAAAAATACCATTCTAAAGATAACATTTTCCTGTTTGAGCCAATTATTGAAAAATTCTTTAGTTAATCTCTGCAGACCAATTTTTTTCCTTCTCTTCCCTACTAACCAAAACCTAAAAGAGTCACAGCCACCCCATTCCACTCTGTTGATGGTTAACAACTTTTGTAAAACAGCCATTCTCGCATTCCCAGTGATGGGGAGCATCTTGAGGCCAGTCTTGTATACTTTTTGTACTGACTTCCACCAACCACAGTTCCTTCCTCAGGGGAAGTTCATTTATTCCCCTAGACAGCTTCTAAGGTGCTGTAGAGTCTGGCCCTTCCAAAGACTGCATTCTCAAATACTTTCTCACACAACATGATGTTCTCACTCATCTCCAATAGTCTATGCTTCTCCACTCCTTTGCACTTTTTACAACTCTCCTCTTTAGATTTCTCTGCAGGTTTATTCTCTTTTTCTCAGATCTCAGCTCAAATGCTGCCTCCTCAGGTGCTCCCTGACCACCCCACCTTCAACAGCCATTCTAACCCTGAATGGCACAAATGCCACCTTAACTTAGTGAAGCCCTATGAGGGAGGCTGAGATAATATGATTTTATGAGGATCTAACTTTCAAAATGAATCAAGAACAGGGTCAGCAAACTAGGTCCCACAGACCAAATTCAACAACCAACCTGCTTTGTAAATAAGTTATATGAAGACCCAGCCATACTAACTTATCGACACATTGTCTGTAGGGGATGGTAACTCACACTATAGCATCAGAGTTCAGTGCTGACTAGCTTTGATAGAACAGAGTCTGCAAAGCCTAATATAAGTTATTACTTTCCTTTCTCAGAAAGAGTTAGATGACCCCTAATTGCAATGGATGGACAGTGATGTAGCTAAAGGTTCTCCATCTCCCTTCAAGTGAGACTGGAAAAATGCTAAACTGCAGACAGTCTGTGGCTGGATTTTGGGATAAGCACTTGAAAGAACAGGATTCTGTGTTTATACCAACACTGAGGGAACATGCCATTTCTTTTAACAAGCTGACACAACACTTTATAAGGTATAAACAGGGCATGGCCAAAACCTAAGAAAAAAATATATACTCAAACCAGCTAGGCAGCACTTCCGTAAGGCTAAAACAAATTTTAAGTGTAAGTTTTTGTGTAAGGATTTAACATAGACCAACAGTGGCAGATTCCAGTAGTTATATTCTCTAATAATGTTCACTAATAATGCAACAAAGAATCTAAATACACACCTTGATTTTGAAAGCCCTTTTGAATCCACTGGCAAAGAAGCCTCCAAATGGGCCAATTAAAGATGCAAATGTTGAAAGAGCAATACTGTGGATCTGGAAAGGATACATGCTGACTGTTTCCTACAGAGGAACAACAAGGGGTTAAGAGGATATTGAGACTAACTGCATTAAAACTGTGCGTGAGCATGCCACCTAATCTAGGAACCATGATATAAATAGCAAGTCAAAGCCTGGGAGAAAAATACATTGCAAACTCTTTATCCTGTCTTGTGCTTGGTCAGCACTCTCCAGGTCCTGTGCAAACACACTGCCAGGCACCTCCACAGTGAACTTGACAGCTGGTAGAATACTTTCTAGTTGACCTAAGATCTTCTCCAATAGTTGAGCTGTAGAAGATACAGCTGAGTTAATTCTTTCATGCATTTGTTTTCATACATTTTTATCAGTAGCACTTTGTTTCTGCAATTACATAATTTAAATTTCTTACTTTGCATCATTTTGTTTAATATTATATGATGAAATAAGGGAAAAGTTGACTTTTTCCTCTTAAAATTAAGTTGAATGCTGTGGAAACACACAAAAATAAGTCATTTAAAAAATTATGAAGGGCCAGTGTGGCAGCATATGTCTGTAATACCAGCACTGGGAATTTGAGGCTAGATTAGACTCTACAGCAAGACCCTGTCTCAAAAAAAAAAAAAAAATCAAATAGCTCTGTAGTCAAATTATCTTGTTAATTAACAGCACTTGCTCCCCTGTAAACAACCACAAATTATGTGACTCCACACAAGAAAAATGTTTGGCCCACCAAGTTTTGGACCTGCTTTCAATGCAACACCCCTGCCCTGAATCAAAGATTAATACCATTAAAGTTTTATAGCAGATAACCGAGGGACATGGATGGTGAAACAATTATTAGAATTCATGTATTGAGCACTCAAGGAAAGAAATAATTTGTTGGCTATCCTGCTTGTAAAAAAGTATGGATTTCATAATAACAGAAAATTTCCCAAATCTCAAGAAAGTTTTGCCCATTCAGGTACAGGAACCCTCCAGGACACCGAACAGACATGACCAAAATAGAACCTCCCTACAGCATACTGTCATTAAAACAACAAGCACAAAGAATAGAGAAAGACAGAATTACAGACTTTAGGAAAAGTTAAGTAAGTCTAATAATTCACTAATATACCAGGGAATCTAGAAGAACTGGATAAATTTCTTAAAAACAAAAAAATATTAAAGTTGAAAGTCAAAATATCTGATTAGAGCAATAAGTATGAAACGGAAAGTATAGCATATAACATGAAAAAAAAAGAATAGAGAAAGAATACTGAAGGCTATAAGAGAGAAAAAACAAATAACATATAAAGGTAAACCCATCAAAATCACAGCAGATTTCTCAATGGAAACCTTAAAAGCAAGAAGGGCATAGAGTAAGGTATTTTGGGCAATGAATGAAAATAACTTCAACCCTAGGATACTCTACCCAGCAAAACTATCATTCAAAATAGATGGAACAATAAAAATCTTCCACAATAAGCAAAAACTAAAACAATATATGACCACTGAGCCACCACTACAAAAGATTCTAGGAATAGAAGGAATGTATGTTAACATTGTAAAGGCAAAGGCTATATATGACAAATCTATGGCCAACATCATACTTAATGGAAAAAAACTGAAACCATTTCCCCTAAAATCAGGAACGAGACCAGGGTGTCCACTATCCCCACTCCTATTCAACATAGTCCTGGAATTCCTAGCCAGAGCAATAAGGCAAGAAGAAGAAATAAGAGGAATACAAATAGGTAAAGAAACTGTCAATGTACCCTATTTGCAGATGACGTGATTCTTTACCAAAAAACTCTACCCAAAAACTCCTAGACCCCATGAACATCTTCAGCAATGTAGCAGGATACAAAATCAACTTACAAAAATCATTAGCTTTTCTATACACAAACAATGAACAAATTGAGAAAGAATATATGAAAACAATTCCATTTATAATAGCTTCAAAAAAAAATCAAATACCTAGAAGTAAACTTAACAAAGGATGTGAATGATCTCTACAAATCTCTGAAGAAAGAGACTGAGGAAGACTACAGAAGGTGGAAAGATCTTCTGTGCTCATGAATTGGTAGAATCAACATAGTAAAAATGGCTATACTACCAAAAGCAATCTACATGTTCAATGCAATTCCCATCAAAATCCCAGGACGTTCATCACAGAGATTGAAAAATCTACCCTAAAATTCATTTGGAAACACAACAGACCATGAACAGCCAAGGCAATACTCAGCAAAAAGAGCAATGCTGGAGGTATCACAATACCTGACTTCAAACTATATTACAAAGCAATAGCAATAAAAACAGAATGGTACTAGCACAAAAACAGATATGAAGACCAGTGGAACAGAACAGAGGACCCGGATATGAATCCACACAGCTATGCCTACCTTGGTGCCAAAACATACAATGGAAAACAGACAGCCTATTTGACAAATGTTGCTGGGAAAAGTGGTTATCTGCCTGCAGAAAACCAAAACTAGATCCATGCCTATCACCCTGCACTAGTGTCAACTCAAAATGGATCAAGAACCTTAATATCAGACTCAAAACTCTGACGTTAATACAGGAAAGAGCAGAGAATACTCTGGAAGCAATAGGTATAGGCAAGGACTTCCTCAGTAGAACTCCAGCAGCCCAGCAACTAGGACAAAGGATGGACAAATGGGACTATATGAAATTAAAATGCTTCTGCACAAAACAAGAAATGGTCTCTAAACTGAAAAGACCACCCACAGAGTGGCAGAAAATATTCGCTGGCTATACATCAGACAAAGGACTGATAACCAGAATATACAGGGAGCTCAAAAAACTAAACTCCCCCAAGATCAATGAACTAATAAAGAAGTGAGCAACGGAACTGAACAGAACTTTTTCAAAGGAAGAAGTCCAAATGGCCAAAAAACTCATGAAAAAATGCTCACCATTCCTGGCCATAAAGGAAATGCAAATCAAAACCACACTAAGATTCCACCTCACTCCTGTTAGAATAGCCACCACCAACAAATGTTGGCAAGGATACAGGGAAACCCTCCTACACTGCTGGTGGGAATGTAAGCTAGCAAAACCACTTTGGAAAACAATATGGAGGCTTCTTAAAAATCTAAACATAGATCTGCCATATGATCCAGTAATACTACTCCTAGGGATGTACCTGTAGGAATGTGACTCAGGATACTCCAAAGGCACCAGGACACCCATGTTTATTATAGCACTATTCACAATATCCAAGTTATGGAAACAGCCAAGATGCCCCACTACTGACAAATGGATTAAGAAAATGTGGTATTTATACACAATTGAATTTTACTCTGCCATAAGAAGAATGAAATTTTGTCATTCACAAGTAAATGGATGGAACTGGAGAACATCATCTTAAGTGAAGTTAGCCAGGCTCAGAAGGCCAAAAATAGCATGCTCTCCCCCATATGCGGATTATAGACCTAAAACAAATGCAGTAATATTATTGGACATGGGTTACACACTAAGGGGGAACACATACAGGAGGAATACAGAAAAGGAAGCAAAACCTAAAATTTGAAAGATGTGCCCACTGTAGAGGAGGAATAAAGTAATCTTAAACTGGCAGAGGCCATTATGGGAAGGTGAGCAGGAAGTAGTAAAGAGGTCAGGTAGAGATGAATCAGTTCGGGTTGTAATACACATGTGCATGAAGCAATGCTAGGAATCTCTCTGTATAGTTATCCTTATCTCAAACTAGCAAAAATGCTAAGTTTTTCTTATTATCTCGTATGTTTTCTCTTCAACAAAATTGGAGAAGAGGGCAAAACAGGTTCCGCCTGGAAGCGAGGGGGAAGGGGGGGATGAGGGAGGGCGAGGTGGGGGAAGAGATGGACCACAATGTATGCACATATGAATAAATGAATAAACAAAAACAAAATGTTTCGGATATAGACCTGTGCACACAGAGACACACACAGTTATTTTATTCCTCACTGAACACATACCAGTCCTGATGACATTGGTCAGGAGGGTTCTCCTGATGAGCATGTCAACAACCTTCAGTATGAGATCTCAAAGATTCTTCAAATGGCAGCAATGTGTTTTTGGAAAGGAACACTTCTAGAAGATTTCTGTTCTTAAAAAAAGTCCTTGAAAAATCAAGGACTCTTTCAAGTGGCAAATCTTAATTAAGTTTTAAATTGAGTCAATTTAGAAGTTTTGAAGAGTCAGTAACATGTAAAACTCATTCTAATCTATTTGATTTGTAAAAATCTATGGGGATATTTAAAAAATATTTTAAAAACAAATATAAAATAAACTACCACCAGTATTCAAATCATTAGGCAAATAAATTCCTTATACACAAGTGATTTACAATATTAATACTAATTTTATGTTTAAAAAAGAGAAATCACAAACTTCTAAATCATAAAGAAAAATTCTGCAGAAATTGGTTTTTTGTTAAAATTGGAATCTCATTTTTAAAGGAAGCTTCTTAATCTTTGGATTAAGGATCCCTAATTTGGCACGTTACTCTTACCCATTTCAGTATTTTCTTTAGGAAGGGAGGAAGTGAGTAACTCTGCAGCTGGAAGAGGTCAGAGGGCTCACATTCTGTAACAAAAGAGTTGACGTCGCTGCGGTATTCCACTGGGCAGACAAAGTACTGGTATTTGGACAACACATAAGCAGCCTGAAGAACAAAGCAAGAGTTCATGAAACACTGCCTAAATATAAACATGTGTCATAAAGTCCAGAGGTAGAATGTCAGGTTTTCTTTCTAATAACATTCGCTATATGATCATAATAGTTCCAGTAAAAAAAAAGTTGAAAGCACTTTAGAAAAAGAGATTTTGAATACAATGATATCTCTGCATGATTACAAAGTGGGGACAGGGGAAGGAGGCTGATTTGAACACCTAAAAGCATTAAATTGCAAGGTATTACTTTTTTAAAGTATGAATAACTAATCACAGCAGAAGCTAAGAAGGTATGAAGAGTAAAGGACTGATTCATGAAGATATAGGAGAGTAAAGAACTTGTTTATTGCATATAAACTTAAATATTAATTCCATCAGTTAATAATTAAATGATTCAAAATTACTAAGAAAACAGTACAAAATAACACAAGGAAAACACATCATTGTTCTTCACCAACCCAGGAAACTTTGACTCAGTTGTTCTTTCCATGGCCCCATCATTGCAACTTTTAAAACTAGCTGTCCTCAGCCATGGAAGTAAAAGACACATAAAATAAACCATCTATCCTAAATTTAAATTGCTAGACAAAAAAGCTTACTTACTTTTTCATTTCTCTTGTAGCCATGCACCACTTTATTTTACTCAAAAATGTTTAACAGAAATTCAAATATTACACTAGGAGTGGAAGTAAACTGATTTTCCTTCCAATAAAAGTTTTTTCATAACCATTTGTTTAAAAGATATGTAATTTTCCTCCTCATTACTTTTGCACATTACATTTTTATGGAATAGTTCTTTATTTTCTTTTCCTTATAGTATTTCTAAATTACTTTTTAATAATACTAAATTTTATAGTATTATTCAACTTAATGTTTTTCTTACTCTTGCTTTTTAATTAGTGAACATCGGATGGGATTGGATCCTTACTCAACCTTCCATTTATCAGTTATTGTTATTGTCTCATCAATAGTCTTCCTCAAAATTTAATTTTATAAAATTCTATTGTCATTTTCATTGAGAATAAACTAAGCTTATAGATTAAATAGAGGTGGTTTATAAATTAAATTATGGTGGTTTCCCCATCCAGAATAACAGCACATTTCCATTTATTTATATATTTACTCTATCTCAAAGCTTCTGTTACTATTAACTACAATATATTTGGACACAGTATTTCATACTAACTGCAACTGTTAAGAACTAGACTTAAAATTTTTAATGTTCTAACAGTAATTTTTCTATATTTATCTTTTATCTAGTCATTTTACAGTACCCTCATTGATTCTCACTAGACACCTTTTCATAAAAACTTAAATTCCATAATTATAAACTAATTTTTAAATATGAACAATACCCATTATTTGAGGCTAAAAGTTAACATTAATTATTCATAATTAACAAACTTTTCTTGCAAATTGGGCACATAGCAAGAGCGACTCATTGAACCAAGTTGCCACCCTGTGTTAAGAAAGCAGAGCTCTTTAACATCATTTGCACTTCTGAGGTAACTCAAAGACATCACTTGCCCCAGCATCTGTGTACTTCACAAGGCAAAACAGCTATTAGAAACTACCAAAACATAGCAGCATGGGACTGGATCTCAAGTCTGGCTGTACATTAGGATCATCTGAGGGTGTTAGTCATCCTGGGATAAGGTTGGGACATAGGTTTTGTGGAAGCTCCCACATGATTCTGACATGCAGCCAGGATGAGAGCTACCAGAATACAGAACAGGTTCTGTTTAGTAGGCTTCAACAAAAACATGAGAATTGGGTGGTTTAATTTTTTTAGGCTTAAAAGAGTCTAATAAACTCAGTACAGTTTTTCAAAATATATATAAAATTAAAATCTAATTAAACTCACAACGAATCCAAACACGACTGTAGAAAAGAAACCGCCAATGAATCCTTCCCAAGTCTTTTTAGGCGATAACTAAAAAAGGCCAAATAAAATGAAAAGGCGTTATTACACTTACAAAACAAACAAGACATATACAGTTGGTTCAGGTGTTCTCTCAGGTGTGCATCTCTCCTTACTTTTTTCTTATTGGAATGGTTTAAACTCTTCTTCATTCACCCTATGAGCCTGTTTTAACTGTGTAATTGTCTTGACTAGCATCTAACACATAGTAGACCCTCAAACATTTGTGACATGCTCTGAACATCTATTTGTTTCTGTTAAATAAACCCAAACTATTTTTTCTCTCAAAGGGCTAATTAATTCTATATTGGAAAACTGTCCCATGACTTTCATGCTTCTCTTGGAATATGGATGACACATATTCATTCCAAATATACATGGTATTGATCACCTACTGATCAAAAACAGAATAAATACAGCAAAACATGGACATTGTAGCACATCACATTTTCTCTTCTCTTTTTCTTGATGGGGGAGGGGGAAACACAGGGTCTCACTATGTAGCCTAGACTTGTCTAGAACTTGTGATCTTCCTGTCTCAGCATCTTGAGTGCTGGGATTACTGGCATGTGCTACCATGCCTGACTCAGATTTTTATGTATTACTAATACACAATACATTCAAAAGCTCTCTTTCTGAAATTAAATGTTCTACAGCCCCAAATTCTGTATTTGCCCATCAAGTATTTACATATTCCCCCTTCTTTTACAATTTATGTCTGTCTCCACAAAGAAAGGAACATGTGGTGCATCTAAGAATAGATACTATTGGCTTCACAATCAGGCTATTGTTTCACAGTCAATGTGACATTCAGGGAGAGAAAGCTGGAGGAAAGTCTGGAACTTGGTGATGCGGGGGCAGGAGGAAAGATTCAGGAGTGAATGGCTGGTGGTGTTGTCCAAAGCTGCTATATAAGATAAGGACTGAGATATGTATTGGGATTTGCTCAACCTGAGATCACTGATGGTGGTCTTTATAACTATCATATCTTTGAAGCCAAATATCAGAGGGAAATGTCTGAGATTAAAATTGAATTATAGGCTAAACTATTTGAGCTCTTTGTAGACCTCTTGTCTTGATGTTCTAATGTTCATAAAGCCCAAAACCAAAATAGTTGGCAGATATAGTTTCTTAACAAATGTATGAGTTTTACCATAGAGAAGGAACACCTTTCCCAGGATAATCCAGTGCCTGTCTAATTGCCAGGTAGGAATGGACTCAAATTCAAATGTCTGCTGATTAAAGAGAGTTTATCAAATCAAGTTGGTTCACATTATATCCTAAATTAATTGCTCAATCCTCTGGGAATACTGCACTACTAATCCAGCTGGTAAACTCACTAGAAAGCAAAGTTCGATGGACTGGCAGAGTGGCTCAAATGCTAGAGTGCCTGTTTAGCAGGTGTGAAGCCCTGAGTTCAAACCCCAGTACTGCCAAAAAAAAGAGAAAGCAAATTTCAAAATCACTTACTGAGACTATTCTATGGCCCTCACATTCTCTCTGAAGTCTTCCTAAGCCAAAAGCTTAGCAGTGTAGACCCTTGAATACTTGTTCTTGTGCTGCAGCAGCTTCAGACATTCAAACATTTCAAAGCTCTACATCAGCCAGTCTCCCTACAGCTCAGCGATGGTGTGTCTGGACTTGCTCAGAGGGCAGAGTTTGCAGAAGACTTTCTGAAGGGCAGACAGTCCATGCATTCCTCCAGGAATACTAAGCTACCCTCAGATCACTCTGAACAAACAGAAGGGTTTTACCTGAACAGTAGTCTGTCTCACTCCCTCCAAAACTGCCTTTGAATGATAACATCAAAGTAGCCAAGAAAGGTATTTGTGGAAATATTATTGAAGACTTTGTCCAACATGTGAACTGAGTGAATCCTATTTGAAGTCCCAACATGAAAAGCTCTTTTTCTTTAAAGCAATCAGTTCTAGAACAAAAAGGTTTGATTTTTCACAAAGAATTGCCAGTATTTTACCACAGGGCTCTCAAATCATTTTCTTTTTTTTTTTTTTGAAGTGAATTTGGGTATAAGCCTTACAAATGGACAAAAGTATAGAAGATGGTATGATTTGCTGCTTTAGAAAGTTTGGGAAAGGAGGGGATAGCTGAAGAGACAACTTGAGAGGGGAGCAAAGTCAAGGAAAGGTTTGATGAGATAAGCCTTCACAAGTGATGGAGTCTGGCCAGTACTGAGGAACCAACAGAAGATCTGATGAAGAACCCAGGTGGAATTAGTGGGAAATACAGTTCATTGCCCTGCACTGTAGCTGCTAAGTACAGCTAAGGAAAACTGAGGCTCTGCAGAAATCAAAAAATGTGCAACAGTAGGAAATGTTATCCAGTGGTTAATCTTTAAGGCTACGGGAAAGGCTTGCTTGTAATGTTTTCCATTACCTTAATTAATGGAGTTCTTCCAAAAAAAAATCCAAAAAGGTAAGCAGTAATGTCATTGCAGATAACACTTGATATTGGAACAAGGAACCTTTAAAAAGAGTCAGCAAAAAAAATCTGTATGATTAAGTAGCAAATATTCATATAGGTTATGACTCAGAATGAACCCATGTAATACCCTTTAAATTACAGCTGTGGCCTAGTCCAGAACTTGACGCCTAACAAAACATGAGTAGAAGCAAAAAATATCAACTGCATTTGATCATTTAGCAATTAAGCAGAACAAAACTTTTAAATAAACTAACACAGTAAGAGGATATTGCTATGGAAAACATTAAAATCAATTTTGATAGTTATAAACATTTAAATTTTAGTTTCATGAGGAATAAGTAACAAAAATTAAAATTTCTTTTAAGAAAATCAGAAGGAGATGAAGCATTTGTGTAGACAGATTATAATCTTATAAATGTATAAAGCTCTTAATGCAATTTCTCTTTTATGAACTAATTGTAACTCTATTTTACCCTATAACTGCACTAAACCCTGATAATTGTACAGAACTGACTTACTTCAGTAACTGTCCCCCTTCAATTAAAAGTTTTTATATGCTAGACAATCTTAAATGATTCTAAGTGCTACACACACACATGCACACATACAGATCTTGATTAAAAAAAAACAAACATGAAGTTGTCAAGGGAATAAAATTAATCCTGACAAAACCCAACAACTAGAAAACATCAGGTAATGGGTTAAAAGGAATGTAGGAGAAATACGGCTTTTGTTTGTTTGTTTTTTGGTGGCTCTAGGGTTTGAAGTCAGGGCTTCAAGCTTGCACAGCAAGCCTGAGCCACACTTCCAGTCCATTTTGCTTTGGTTGTTTTGGAGATGGGATCTGGCCTTGAACCTAATCCTCCTGATCTCAGCCTCCCAAGGAGCCAGGATTACAGGCATGATCATCCTTTTTTTATACATAACCTTAAGATTTTTCTCCAACTAATTTTTAACTAGTAAGTTTTTATAATGTTTGAACAACAAAAACACCTTCTGAGTATGTAAGCCACTGCTATAAAGCTAGGACTTTGGCATACCCTGAAGTCTGGCAGCCTTGCAATAGAAGCAAAGCAGAGCCTGCCCAACTCTAACCTGGAGAAAAGGCTTTCCTGGCACACTGTCCACTGACAAACAAACTTTCACACTCTTGTCAGATCCTTTCTTTCCATACAAACAATAAACTCTCTCTAAAGTCTATCCTTCATAAAAGAAAAAAGTAACATTACAGCATACTAGTATCTGAAAATGTGATGTTTGGGGGCCTTACTGAGGAATTTCTGTATTTTATTTAGACCTTTAAGAAAACTTTACAGGTGTTAATGAAGGATTTTGTCTTTAGTTGCCTAACAATAAGCAAAACTCAGTTACTTTTAACGAAACAGAGGAAAAGCAAATAGTACATTTTAGTAGAAATCTGTAAGCCACTGGCCAATGTTAAAGTTTTAAAAGAACTAGACATAAACATAACACAGCACAATACTGTTCCCTTACCATATCATGCCTTCAAACAGATTTTGGATGACAAGATGTGACTGAGTAACGATTATCAGTAAAGTGACATGAGTCCATGCGAACTGTTAATAGCCCAACAATACAAAAATTAGCAAACACAACAGAATCAGTGCAGCCAAGGAAGCAAGAAAAATTTTGAAATGCAAACTAATGCCATGACTTTTGGTTAAAATTTATAGGATAAGATCATACAAAATAAGTGCAGTTAGTAAATTATATTCATTATATTGCCTACTAGAATCTTGAAATAATAAAAACATTAAACAAAGCAATCTTGATTTTATGTACAGATGGAATGCTAATATCAGTGAGATACTACTAAGTTAAAAAAAAAAACACATAAAAATAAACCATAATCTTGAATCACTCAATTTAAGTGATAATGAGAGATAGATGGTGTTGATGTGGTATTTAGAGAGAAACTTTATCCTCTGGCTGCATCTTGCAGTTATGAAAAATGCTAGAAACTACTTTCCTTTTAAAGTTTATTATGGTAGTTTTTCCCATAAAGAGTTATTTCTAACGTCCAATAATTCAAGTCAGCAGGATTCAACTGCCCTTAAACTCCATCTTTTCATACTTGAATTTGATCTTCACAGGTCTATTCAGAGACAATATTTAACTTCAGGTTTTCAAAGGCCACTGTTTGATCCATGTATCCTGAGAGATTACTATGCTAGCACAATCACTATGAACAGAATGTGAACCAAAAGAAGCTAATATTTCTATGTACTGCTCTCTTAATTTTGATTGGCATTTATAAAATCACTGTTCGAAATAATTTGGAGTTTGATTTATTCTTAATAAACCCATTTCAACAATCAACATTTTACACTGGTTACTAGTTGCTTCAAAATGCATAAATAATTTTTTCAATAGGCAACATTTATGTAGTTGCCCTTCCACACCTGTTAAGTCTAGCAGCCACAGATTCAACCAATCACGTATTAAAAATATTTGGGGGAAAAACTGCATCTGTCCTGAACATGTGCAGACATATTTTTCTTATCATTATTCCTTAAATAATATAACAACTACTTTTATGGCATTTACATTGCATTGGGTGTTGTAAGTAATCCTGAGATGATTTAAAGTATGCAGGAGAATGTATGTGGGTTACATGAATATCACGCCATTTTATATAAGGGTCTTATAGAAGGGGATTTTGATATTCATGGAACCATGCCCTTGAAGAGAGGATGCTATTTCCACAGGTGAATCTACTATTTCTAATTTGTCTTGATTGTTCACAGATTTTTTTTCACTAAGAATTTACCTTCAGATACCCTGAAATTAGAAATATAGGAAATACTACAATTTCTCAGCAATAATAATAAGCAGAAAAAGAAAGCACAAATAGGAAATACAACCCAAATCTAGAAATAAGCCTTAATACATGAATTCAAAGACCTAAATATTATATTTTAATCTTATAATTAGCTATATTTTAAGGAAATAAGAAAAGTTCATCATGTAAAGTAATAAACTTCATAAAATGTGTACTACTTTCATTGAGCAAAATGCTTCATGCCAAAAAGAATTATGCAATTCTATAACTAAACATAATTACCAAGAAAATATAAGCTCTGCTCCTTTTATGCTTATGCTACTAGCATGTCAACAAAGTTAATTTCCATAAAACAACGTGGTAGGTGCTTCTTAGACTTAACTCTCCGGGAGACAAGTCTCTACATATTTAGGGAATTCAAATACTTTAAATTTTTTCATCTTTGAAAATGTTTTGGGAAATGTTTAAGACAATTGGGAAATTTTTAAATACTGAAAAACTTTCAACTTCAACACTTTGCATTTAATAGTCATCCAAAACTGAAATATCTCACTTTCAAGCAAGACATCAAGTAGCATATTGAATGATATCTCCTCATTACAGAAAACAAAAGAGAGGTAGGGCTTCTATTACATATAATGACTACAGAATAATGGTTAATACACACCATATAAAATTGCAGACGATAGTGTTTCTTCACCAAGCTCAGTACAAACATGCAGAAACCTGTTCAAGAACAAAAACATGTGCTTGTTGTGTAATTCTGTATAAAGTGTAAAATTCCTTGCACCCAAAGAAACCAATGTCCTACATCACGTCTAGGCATATTTTAGCAATTTACTCTTAGGCTATCTCTCCTACTCCTACTCCTACTATCTTATTAGTAAGCATTTTAAGTAAGTTTCTGAGGGAAACAGTTTTGTGATTTTCCTAAGTGCCTAATATATTCCATCGCACAAATTCAATAAATATCTCTTACATTAATTAAATGAATTAGTCTCTTGCTAATACATGGGCATGGAAAACAGATCTTGAGTTTCAGTTGAATAAAATTTATATGCTACATCAATTCATCAAAAGTGGACTAGTGGTGTAGCTCAATACTAGAGAGTTTGCCTAAGATTCACAAGGCTGTGAATTTGATCCCTCTTGCAGCAAAAAAACCACACACATATTCACACATACAAAAAGCCCACAAAAGTCAATTCATCAAGATTATATGCACAATGCTTTCAATATCTATACAATATGAAAATTAATAATAACTATTATGGTAGCTAACATCTATTGAACACACTGGGATCCAGCTCTTGTCTTAAAGCATCTTATACATTATTAACTCAATCCTTTCAATATCACTCTGATATAGATACCTATTTTCACCTCCATATTACAGATGAAGAACAATGTTCCAATCATACTGACCCTTGGGAGTCATGTGGTTCCACAAAAATCCATAGCAGCAAGATTCAGGTGCAGAGCAACTTGAAATTTCTCAGAATGATATTGTAGCAATTATAGTAAAACATAATACTTTAAATAATTTCAAGATTTACCAAGAATATTCAACTTTGTATCTCATTAACTTGCCCACTTGATGGTGAATCTAAGAATCATATACTAAAATAATGAGAGGCAATATGAAGTGCTAAAGATATGCTTTTTACAGAGGTAGATAGTGAAAATGCATAAACCTAGTCTACTCAGATAAATAACCATGTATTCTACAACAACTTTGGAGTGAGATCTCTGAGACAGAAACTGAATCAATTCAACTGATCTATTCCATATGAAATAAATACCAGCCTTTGTACATCTGCACTCTACTCACCAAGGCAATCCTACCCACTGGATAGAGTAAGTAAGAGTACTACTACTCTCACCAGAGCAAAAACCAACAACAAAACAGCAGCTTCTTTTAGCTAACCTTGATGACTGATTTTAAATGTCCAAGCATAAAGGAGAAAGGAGGGTGACAAAGAAAGAGAATGCATTCTGATGGCACTTCCTACACCTCAGTTCCTGTACTGAAAAAAACAATATGGAAACATATTCTGAGTGGAGACATAACTGAAAGCTATTACGTCGTGTGTGTGTGTGTGTGTGTGTGTGTGTGTGTGTGTGTGTGTGTTGGGGGGGAAGACAGAGAGATACTGAAAGAACGGAAGCTCATGGCACTTCAGTTGCCAAGTGTTTAAAAAGGTCTCTTTCAAGAATTGTTGCTTTTTGTTTGATGTCCCCACTCCAGAGGCGCTAATACAGAAAACTTAAAACAACAGAGGTTATCATGAGAAGGGGATCAGTAACCAGGGTAAAGATCAGTTAGAGATGAATCAACATGGGTCATAACACGTGTACACGAAAGCAATGCTAGGAATATTCTGTATAGCTATCCTCAACTCAACTAGTAAAAACACTGTGTCTTCCATATTAAGCTTGTCTCTTTCTTCAACAAAACTAGTGATAAAGGCAGAACAGGACCTGCTGGAACTGAGGGGGTAAGCGGGAGCAGGTTGGGGGAGGGGGGCAGTGGGGAGAAATGACCCAAACAATGTATGCACATGTGAATAAAAGAATTAAAAAAAAAGAATTGTTGTTTTTAAGGTTTTCTTGTATAGCATAAACTTATCTTGAAGTAATGGAGTTTCTAGGTTGTTTTATTCTGTTCATCCATGGTTAAAGCTGAATGTAGCTTAGAATTGCTTCCAAGGCTAGTGGAGAAGACTCAAGCAGAGACACAAGGTAGACACCGCTGGAACCTTCTTTGTTGTCCAAACAGATTCCTCATCCCAAACAGCAAAGCCATACAGAACTTTTCAACATCACTAACTCTGAATTATCTCCTCACAAGTACTACACAAAACATATGGTTTTATTTTTCTTTCAATTATATAATAGCACTCACTCTAAAGCATTTGTTCAAACAAAATCATCAGCAGAATTATTCCCTGTTTTCCTAATGGATATTTTACCCAGGACAATCTTGGCAACTCACTTTCACTTGATTCAATTTCACCTAAAGGATACATATTTGACCCCTAAATACATTAAGATAATACACTTCCCTGACTTTATGGGAGGAGGTAAAAAATATTTTCCTAGCATTTCTAAATCTAAATGTTATTTTTAAAGAAAAAAACACTCTGAAAAGAAACACATAAAATCATTTTCATTCACAACCATATGGCCATGTGAATATTTTCTTTAAACCTATAAAAATACATATAAACCATATTTAAATAAAACTATGGAAAGAATAATTTATACATTTGGATCCATATTTGAATCTTATTTTTTCCCTAACTAGAAAAGAGTATTTGTATGGCTATGTTTCCAATTAAAAACACAGGCTTCATGACTATTGTAATAAAGGTATAAATAAAAGTATTCATTGAAAGGGTTCCTAATATACAACTCTTATTGTTTAACTATGTTTAACTATGTTGATTGATCATCAATCATGAACACGGTACTATGCCTGGTGGTGTGAATATAAAGATGTGCACATCCTATTGCCAGTATCACAGAGTACCCTAGGTTGTTAGGGAGAACCAGTTGTGCAATAGACTAAACAGAATTATATTCAAGAAAGGAGAGGGCTGAGAGTATGCCTCAAGTGGTAGAGCACTTGCCTAGCAAGTGCAAGACCTGAGTTCAAACCCAACTACCACCAAAAAAAAAAATAATAATAATAACAAAACATTAAAAAGATAATACAATTAATAAAGTTGACCTAAAAAAACACAAAGGTTAAGAACAAAAGAGAAAGAGATTATTACAAAGATCAGGAGAAATCCAGCAGAAAGACAAAAATCACTGAAAAGCCCAAAAGATTGGTATTTCAGAAAAATGACCAATTAAAAAATATTGAGCATTTGAGATGTACTAGACACTAGATACAAAAGATGAATATGATAGACACTTGCATTCAAGAGTTTGTAGTTTAGTTAAAGAGACAGAACATAAAGAAAAAATACGGCTGTTTTTTAAATTCACTCCTAGTGATTAACCAACTCAGAAAACATGTGTAGTCCTCAATTCTAAACAGTCATTAAGGCTGGACTTGGGTTTGAATACTGGAGCTTACCAACTTATCTTTCATCTTTTACTTGGTTATACCTTTTACTACACTTGTCTAACCATCAAAACTCCCAAAGTTTCTAACATCACTTTAAATAAATTCAGAAGTTAACTGAATTGTTTACCGAAAGTTTTAAGTGAATATGCACTATAAAATCATACAAACTGATCATATTAGTTGAGTTTTTTTTTTTTTTTTTTTTTGGCAGTACTGGGTTTGAACTCAGGGCTTCACACATGCTGGGCAGATACTCTACTGCTTGAGCCAAGCCTTCAGCCCAGTTGAGATTTTTTTTTTAACTTTTGGTGGCGCTTAGGTAGGAATTCAGTGCCTTGCACATGCTAAGCAAGTGCTCTGTCATTGAGTTACACCCCAGAACCCTAAGAAGCTTTCTATTAATGTGAATGGAGAGTTTAAGGTATAGAACACTAGCATGTGTACAGATTTTAGAGTTTTTAATTTGACCACTTGTAAGTGGTCCTTTATGAAGTTTTCCATGACACCTTGTATAGAGATTTCATCAACATACTCTGATACAAAAGAGACCCAGAATGTTTGGGGAAATTTTTCTTAATTATGCATTAATTTTAGCTATAACTTAACTTTACACACCCATCAACTTTCTTGAATCCAAAGCATTATATTTAAGTTATACCACCTCCTTCAGGATTTTAAAGAAATCAAAATAGCCATGTGTAAATGCAAAATATATTTTTCTAAACCTAATCCAGTTGTTTAAGATGTTAGGGTGATGATCAGAGTCAGATATCTTAGGCTCGTTGACTTATTGCATGGCTGCTCTAGTTTCTAAAGAGCCCCAAATCCAAATCACCAAATTCGTGGAAAGTTCTTCTTTATAAACATCCAGTCTCTGGAGAAAATTTCTCTTATGACTGTCAGTCTCATTGATTTTTTTTTTCTTTGCTATCAGTCAAATTCACATTAAGCAGGATTATCTAAATGTCAGAATGACTTCCAGGTCCTAGTCAGTGAGTCATCTTGTATGATAGGAAGCAAGTCATTTAATTCCATGGCACTCGATAAGGGGGTCAGACCCAAAGACAGCTACATTTTATTTCAATAAAATTCAATGTCAATGAAATAGCATGGCTATCTCTGCTTTTTAATATCTGTTAAGACTTACACTTCCCAAAATTATTTCATCATATATTACTTAACAAAGACTTCTAAAGATTACCACAGTATAATGTGACAGGTACAAAACTCTGAACATAACATACTTTCTATTTCCTCACTCCTGATTTAAAGTCCAACTCCATTTGCTAGCCTAAGCTCATAAGGTTGCTAGCCACCTTGAGTCACCTCAAGACAGCAAATGAAAAAGTGATACTAAGAAAGTACCATTGACAAGCACTATGAGAGGATGTGCATGTTTTCATCCAACAGATGTATATTGGGAACCTCAATGCCAGGCCCTGCACTAAGCCTGGGAATTAACGGAACACAAGAGACACAGATTGGTGCTTATGACTGAATAGGGTCATATTTAGGCTACTTTTAAAATGATAATAGATGGAGAATTCTATGCTGGTTTTGTATTGGAAGTAACTAGTACCTAGTTTACTAGGAGCTGCATTTTAGGAGTATATTTGTAGGCTGTAGTAATGTCAATTACCTATGATATAATAGTTTTACAAAATGTTAGCATTGGTGGAAACTAAGCAAAGTATAAAAGGGAAATATTTGTTACACCAGGTGAATATACAATGGTCTTCAATTTTAAAAGCACACTTTAAGTCATAATTAGGAATAAAAAACAATTCTTCATAGACAATCATAAAATAACAGTTGGGTTCTAAAATCAGCTCAAAGTACCTTTTTCTCTGAATTTATAAGCCCCTCACAGTAAGGAGAAACCTTAAAGATTCCAGTCCTCCCTCTCTCTCTCTCTCTGGTATGAACTACAGCAGTATCTTTCTACCTAGTCTCTCTGCTAATGTTTTCCAACCCATGTTTCATTTAATCACAGGTCTGGTTATAGCTTTTCTTACTGTAAAATCCTCCAGTGGTTTCCCAGAAACAGATCTGAACCCTTCCCATGACACACGAAGCATCTCAAGATGCAGTTCCTGCCTATCTTTCCAGGTTTGGATGCCCGCAACTGGCCCAGGATAAGCAATCCTCTCTTAGCTCCTTTCCTGGGCCCTTCTCCTGGTATGCCCATTCCTACTTCCCATCTGGCAAAGGCCTACTTATTCTTCACTTTTCACGACCTCTGCCACCTCTTCTTGGAGCTTCCATGGCCTTCCTACTCCTTATCAGAGCAAGCCCCATCCCTTCTACATACTCCCACTGATCCTTGTTCACAGCTCAGCAATGAGTCATATCTCATAGCTTCAGTACCCTTGAAGGGTATTATCTGCTTTATCTCCCCTTATATCCTCCAAACTTAGGATCTAGCATTGGGAAGCACTCAACTGTTTGCTGAAAGAATGACTTTGGTGACCTTCAAGTGAGTTTCTGTGACCTAATGAGCCTCAAGCAGCAAGTGGTAAAATATGTCCATGGCAGTAATCACTGCATTGTTAGAAAAAATACTAATTTTATTTTATAAGAGTCAAAAGTTTAATATAGGAAACAAACAATTACTAAAAAGGGGGTGGTTGAAATGTATAAGCAGAAATGACAAAGAAAATGAATTTCATGTTCTGTTGCCACTCAACTGAGAAGTTATTCTCAAGTATGAGTGGTAGCAAACCACACAGGGAAAGGAAGCCACAGGAATGGAAGTCACCTATATGCTGACATTCCCCCCCTCAAGTACTGCTGTGCAGCGATACAGATGTAACTGCAGATGCAGAAAAATGAGATCAATTTCAATGTGTCAATATTAAATGATCTATAAACTATATTAAGTAGGAAAAACAGGTATGGAATAGTCTGCTCTTATTTCTATAAGAAAAATAGGTGAGGGAGGATAGAAACATATAAAGTTGAATACTCAGGAAATTTCTGGAATAATTGTAGTAAGTCCCTAGAGATAGTAAGTAAGGCTCTGAGATAGATGATTTCACTGAATACTCCTTTTTAGTCTGAATTTTTACTATGAGCATATATTATGTTTTCACTTTTAAAAACTAGGTTAAAAAATTGATAATTTTGGCACACTCCACATTCAGAACGTAGCCATGTACTGTGTGGCATTCTGGCTATGTGGAGAGGCTCAGGTCAACAGCCAGCACTTAGCGTGGCCATAACAGGGAGCCATCCCGGGCCACCAGCCCAGCTGGCCTTACCTGACTATAGCCACGGCCTCTGTCTCACTGCAACCATAGGACTAAAAATGGTCTGCATTAGAAATGATCAGGGAATCCCAGGCAACACACAGGACAATGAGAGAAGCTGAAAAATTGTTTTAACCCAAGGGAAAAATGAAAAACTAGGTAAGGGTTCTGTTTTGAGTAAGCACATTTATTTCTATTCCATCCTTGTATGCCACCAACATAACAATGAAAGAAAATAAGGTGAAAACCTTCAAGAATAAAGAGAATTGAAGAAAAATGTCTACAAAATTTGAATGCTGGAAGACAAGGGTCCTAGCAGAAGTGAGAAATCAAAGATTACTAAAGGATTTTTCTAGAGAAACGGAACAGGGCAAAGTGCACCTGGACTCCTGAACCAGAGCATTAAGTAATAGTCTAACAGTAGGCTGAAGCCCTAGTCAAAGCAACAGATTCTGAGGGTAGACTAAAGGCATGTTTGCAATTGCATGAACATGAAACTTCACCTTCTAGGTACTGTCTCATACAAAACTACTGGAGGCTGTGCTTCAACAAAGTAACAGTGATATCCAAAATACTGGAAGACATGGGACAGAAGTAGGAGCCTAAATCATGAAGACAGCTGGGCAGCAGGCCACACAAGAGCAACAAAGGGGTCTCTGAGACAGAAGTGTCCAGGAAAAAAGGGAAGTGACACACCGTCTGGCTCGTGTGAATATTTGAAAATAACTACCAAAAGACACGAGCTAGATCTGAAGGAAAAACTAAGGCTCTCTACCCTGAAATTTACCTATTTGGAACAGAGATGGTAAGGTCTACTCAGTACAGGAAAAACGAAATTTGTGACAGAATGGAAACGTAAGATACTACTAGACTCTATGGGAAGTGATACTTAAGGTCCCTGTTCAAAAATGTAAATAATGACTTAAAAAAAAACTGAGCATGGAGAAGTGAGACAGGTTTTAACAAGAAGTCAACAGGTAATGCCTGAAGTGTATCAAGAAAAAGGTATATTATTAGAAAAATGGAATAATCTGAAAGTGGCAGGGTATAAGATGCTGTTTATCATAAATCTTTTGAAACTACCTGATTTTTTAAAGCTAATATGTATAATATAAATGACTTATATGTTAATTAATCATAATTATTATTAAATAATTATAAGAATAATCACATGAAATAAAGTAAAATTGTTTGGTTCAATACCACAAGCCAGGCTGGGGATGTAGCTCAGTGGTAGGCCACTTGCCTAGCATGTGTGAAACCCTGAAGTTGATCCCCCTAAAAACAAAAACCAAAACAGATATTTTCCTTTTAGATTCAGATGTTTCTCTTGCTAATTCTAATACTATTAATACTCAAAATGCAAGAGAAGTGTTGCCATTCTAAATATAAACTGTAATAGCAAAGAATCAACTTTAGAATCTACCTTACATTCAAGAAAAATACATCAAGTTTGTTGATTTGATAACTCAAGAAAATACTAAAAGGTCCCAAGAAATAATGCCACAAAAGTATATTAATAAACACAAGAGTCAGTCAATCATTTCATCTACAAAGTTATAGTGTGGTCTGATGCCAAATCACCATGATGATAAATCGCTCTTTAAACTGAACAGAATTTTAAGATAGACTGTCTAGAAATGAACATCTTCTTTCACCCATGAAAGGAAAGAAATATTAAATATCTATTTCAAGGAGTTTACTTTCTATAAATATATCAGGAATCATTTTTTATAGTGGTATGAGATTTGAACTCAGGGCCTCAAATGGGATTTGAACTCAGGGTCTCATGTTTGCAAGGCAGGTGCTCTACCACTTGAGCCACTCTACCAATCCTTTTTTTGTGTTAGGTATTTTCAAGATTGGGTCTTGCAAACTAATTGCCCAAGATGGCCTCAAACCACAATCCTTCTGGTCTCTGGTTTCTGAGTAGCTAGGATTACAGGAGTGAGTCACCAATGCCCAGCTCAGTAATCATTTTTAAATGAAGGAATAGAGTCAGAAAACAGGATTGAAGAAAAAGCATGATGTGAAAGGAGGAAAATCCTTTAGGGAAAAAACCCTCGATTCTCTGAAAATTACCATTATGACTTCAGATTGTATGTCATGTTCTGGCTCTCTAGAATCAGAAGGCCGAGGATTCAAGTATGGAAGAGAAGTCTCTTGGTCATTCTCCCCCTCTCTAGAGATGATCAATTTTCAGTCTACTGGAAGTGTATTCCTTTCCTAATAAAGTTTGCTATCACTTTCACTATAACAAAGTCTCTTATTTCTAACTTTACTCTCAACATCTGATTTCTTAATCTAAATCTGATTTCTAATCTTCGTGGCACAGCATATCACAAAGTTGCATATACAATAAAACTAAATACCCTGATTATTTCTACATGAAAGATATTTCTTAGGGACAAATATACATATTTATGAAACTTTCTTTGTACCTTATATCTTATTAATAATCACTATGTAAAGTTTCCTTATTATAATTTACAAAATATTTTCAAGAACATGGAATATTAATCAAGTATTTTTAAAAATACTCACTATGGAGTAAATGCTATTTAAGAACATGATAGAAAAAAGTTTTATACATGAGAAATAATCTAAAAGAGAGACAAGAAAAAATGTAACAAATAAAGGGTGAATTTAAATAGCATAAGTAAAAATAAACATGAAAAATATGTTAGTTGCATATTAATCCAGAATAATTTCTCAACTCACCTGCCAGATACAGAGCAAATGATATAAACCTGTGGTATCGAATGAGGAACTGAAGTTGTTCTTCTCTTTGAACAAATGTAGCAAAATAATCAGCCACAGTTTCTCCATAGAAAAAGTAGTTTACGCACAGAAGAAAGTACCTAGAATTTAAAAACAATTGGCTCTTTTATATTTAAAGCCTTTCCACTTCCCCCCCAAACTCAACAGAATTATTCTATACATTTTGATGGCATAAACAAAATTCAGACCAATTCAAAATATAATCCACCAAAATGCCATCTTCCTATTTTAAATAATTTCAAACCTATCAAACAACAGCAATCTACTGAATACACCTCATCTTTTTAATTAACTGGGAATATGCCAGAGACAAGAATGTAAGGGATGTGCCTTATGATATCTGCTAATTAATAAGCATCAGACCCGTAAGCAACCTGTAAGTTAACCTTCATTCTAAACTTAACACTGAGTGAAAAGGAGGAGGAGGTAACTCAACTCCCCTCCCACTGCCCTGCACTCAGTATTGGTCTTTTTCTGCTCTTGCAGAAAGATGATTTTAAAGTGAAGGATGGGAACACATAGCAGGTAAAACTCTGTAGAAGAAGGTTTAAACTTCATAAACCACCTCTCCCTCCTCGGGGAGAGGGTTAGTCCACTGACACTATGCTAACTGTTGCTTGTACAGGCCAGGAAAGAAAGTGTCTTAGAGCCCTCTGGGCCTCTCCTCTGAGGGGCAGCATCCTAGCTGGCCAGAGAGTAGTAGAAAGGAAAGGGATGGAATTCCTCTACTTCTTATGGATGGAATTAGACCCCATGATCCCAAAGGAAAAGGCAAGTATTCTTATTCCAAGCAACTGGGTCACTATTTTTCTATTTTCCTACAATGAAAACTGATTTTGACTCTCCTGTGAGGCTTTCAAGGCCTGACCTAACCCAGCAATGCAACTTTCTGCCCATTGTTCCCCAATAAACACCTTCTGCTCAGAAAAGCCAGCAATTCCTCACCATCTGCAGTGTCTGACACATCTGTCCTACATTTAGAGCCTAATGGGTTCTGCTTCTCCAGTCCAGAATATTCTTTTTTACCAGAAGTTGTCTTTATTTCAAGGGCCATTTTATCTCTCACTCTTCTATGACACCTTCTTCTACAATCATTGGACCCCAACTTTTTTTCCCTATTTTGAGACACTATGTAACCCAGTCTGGCCTCAAATTCACAATCCTCCTAAGTGCTGGGATTGCAGACATGCACTACCACGCCAGGCTCACAGGAGCCCATCTTGATTTCCCTTTTCTTTTTCTACATTTCGAATCACGCTGTATGGTTTACCATTTAATTGTTCTCCATTTACTTTATCTACCTAACATTTCCCATATGCTTTGCTACTCACAAAGAACCTGCTAAGAAGAAAAATCAGCTATAACCAAAATAAAGAAATTATTTTTTCATAAACCCCAAAGATTTATGGTTCCTTAGATTATACTAATCAAACAACAATGTGCAAAACATCTGCCTCTGAGGTTAATATAAACTATTATTTTATCATGCTTCATGGCCAAAGTCTTGTTAGCTATGAGTACCCGAAAAGTTTTTTGTTTGTTTGTTTGTTTGTTCTTTGTAGTACTGGGGATTGAATTCTGGGCTTTGCACATGGTAGGCAAGCACTCTATCACTGAAGCCATGCCCCCAGACATTTTGTTTTGTATTTTTGTTTTTCAGACAGGGTCTCCCTAACTTTTGCCTGGAACTTACAGTTCTCTTGCCTTCACCTCTTAAGTAGCTGGGAATAGAGGCATGAACCACCTATGCCTGACTTAGTACCCAAAAGATTTTAAAATATATAAAACTTCAAACATTAAAATTATTTAGTGATATTTCTCTAACTTTACATGCTCTTATATATAAAATATTTTGTGTTTTCATGTCAACTGATGAGAAATAAAGGTTATAAGTAAACATTGATAAAATTGTTATCACAAATTGAAATAAAAATGTGTCTTATACAATGGTTAGAGCTTTTTATTAAAAAAAGGACAAAAATTATATATATATATTCATCATAAATTAGAAATCTCTACAAAGACTAAAATATGAGATATAAGACAGACTGTCTTAGAGTTAAGATCATTTTCTTCTTTTCAAAATTCAATTACATTCTTTTGATTTATCTTTCTCCAAAGTCAACCTACAACATAAACTGAATGGGTACTGACCAGCCAGGATGTTTGTTTTACAAACTTTAGAAATGAATTAGATTTGCATATCTGAAACAGTTTCAGTTTTACTTACCAGCTTAGTGTTCTAAACCATGGGAGATCATAAGAATGATAGACTCTGTAACCGATAGTAATAATTTCGTGGAAACATTTCACCTGGATGCCCAGAACCTGAAACCAACAGAAGACATTACACACATTTACATTTCTGCCCATCTGTAATCATTCTAAATGACAATAGCAAAGATGAAGCACTCAGTGTCTCTAAAATCAAGTGATGCCCATTTAAGCAAAATGATGTTTTACTCAAAAAAGTTTGATAGATACTTCCCAAGGTAGAAGTTGGCACTGAAGTTTAAAGTTTGAGGGTATAGTCTAGCCTGCTGACTAGGCTTTCTCCATCATCACTATTTCATTTTCAAGGTGGATAAACTTTTGCCCAATATTTTCCCTTTTTGTTTCTTGAGACAGAGTTTTTTGTTTGTTTGTTTGTTTTTAGCCCAGAGTGGTCTCCAACTCATCATCTTCTTGCCTCCACTTCCATGCCCAGGTTTAGTTTTTCCATTTTTGTCATGAGTTACCCTAGAAAACTGATCACACATGCAAGTTTGCTTGCATGTATTTATCTTTAACCATACATTTTGGCAGACTTACAAAGGATAAAGATAGCATCAGGACAAATAGTTAAAACGTCTCCTACCCAGTCAACCCATGTACTGGGAATGGTCTTTCCATTCCCACAGCTGCACCAACTTTCTCACAGCCAGCAACAATGCTGGTTGGTCTGAGCAGTGCCAAGAGGGCAAATCCTAAGCAGACTTTTACATTCGCAGACACTCTGGTGTCAACGGAGTGCATGCACTTCTGTTCGCACAGTGTCCTAAACTCATGTCAGTAAGAAGATTTATATCTATAAATTCCTTTTTGGTGCTCTATTTAGCAGCCCTTCAAAGTGCTGCATCCAGTGATCTGGGTGAAGGTATGAAGGTAATTCCTCAAGTAGTAGCATTATATTTAAGCTTGTCTGAAGTCAATTCTAAGACTCAAGGAGCAAATAGCATGATAGATACTTATCATCATGAATATCAAATCTTTGGGATCATAGCAGATCCTTTTCAACCCCTAAGGAGCACAACTAGGGGCTTGCAAATTTTGCACAGCCCCTGAGCTAAGAACAGATTTTTATAATTTTGAAGAATTGAAAAATATAAAAAATTATGTGACAGATTCATTTGCAGCTCCTTAAAGTCTAAAATATTACTATGTGAAACAGCTTACCAAATTCATGCCTGAGGACATACTCTGGAATTTCATCCTAAAATTTCCACAAATTAGCTTTCCCAGGATATTCTTAAGCTACATTTTCCCCGTTACACTTATTAGATACCCAATCACACACTTACAAAAGTAAATGTGCCCACTTAACCATGTGATGAAAGAACTATTATACCTAAGTACAACAAAGAGTACTTGAGGAAAAAGCTGTTAAATGTGGTAGAAAGACAGGAGTACATTTAAATGCTGTTCTTCAAATAATCTTTGTGTATAATATCTAGTTATTTTTCAGCAAAAATAATCACAGAACGGGACAATGCTCAATGTTAATATAAAATGGCAAAGCCACACTATTTATAGAACCAAAGAGCTTTTAAAATATCAAATGCAGTGATGCAATTTCTAAAAACACATTTTCTTGAGAACATCCATTAGCACTATACATGGTATTTTACTGAGAGGAGGGGAAAAGGGTTTTAAACAGCACATATATATTTATATGTTCATCAATTATAGCTTGCAAGGAGAATTAAAGTAGAACTTCTGGGAAAACAGTAAATTCAAAACATTAGAGTCAAATCCTTAAAATATATACATATTATACATGGCTGAATGATTACATAGAAACTGATACTCCACGCCATCAATGCTGGTAGCAATGTAATTGTTAGCTCTCAGTTGACCCAATTAAAGTGTTAAGGGCCTTAAAAACAACAGCTAATACTTAAGAGTCAACTTTTGTAGTTACTGAGGACTCACAGAAATAACACTGACACCAGTCCTCACAGTGGTATGGTCTACCAGGGAAGAAGGACATGACTTTAACGCCATGTGGAAGTAGCCAAATGGATGTACATAAAGGCACACAGACCAGTGGCTGGGGTAAGGTGGGCAGCACCTGGGACAAAGGAGGGGGAAAAGGCAGAGTCATGGCTGCAAGTGAGGATGAGGCATACTCAGGGAACTGTAGGCCCCTTTATTGCTTATTCCATTTGGGGAATCTATTTTAAGAAAATAATCTTATATATGAAATTGGAGCTTATTTATGCTCTAACATGTTCAAAATGTTGTTATTCACAATAAGGAAAAAAACAGAACATAACCTGTTTAAAATAGTGCAATGATTTAAATAATTTATGATGCATTACATCCCAGTAACTAGATGAATCTATTCAAGCTGGAAGTTAAAAGATGGTGGAACTGGGGTTGGGGGTTCTTCTCAGTGGAAGATCAAGTGGCAAGAGCAAGGCCCCAGGACCAGAAAAAAAAAAAAGACAGTGGTGCAACATCAAGCTTTTGGCAAGATATTTATTTAGTTTAAGAAAGGATGCAAAATTTTAGTCACAGTATTATTACAACTATGGTTTCTAAAGCACAATGAAAAGAAAAGAAGGGTGAAAAGAAACCTATCAAATGGCAGCAGCACTTATTGGGTTGGGTAGTTAATAACAGGGATGGAGTGAACTAGAGGTGTGGCTCAAGCCATAGAGCACCTGCTTTACAATCATAAAGCGTTAGGGACAGGGAGATTTTTTTTTTTTTTGAAAATAGCTTTAATATACTTTTTCAACTCTCACAATGGAAAAAATTAAACACAGTTTGAAAGTAAATTATAGAATCTAAATTAACAACTATTAGAGTGGTTTCCAAAAAGATAGGTGGCCCTCTTATAATATATTTTATATGTTCACATTTGCCTTCAAATGCAAATTAGCTTTGGTAACTACATTGCTTAGAAATTGCATGACTCCAAGCTGTGACTGCAACAATTAAAGCACTCTGAACAGAAGGCTTTAAGAGGGAGAAAGCTTCTTTTTTGAGGAACAAGAGTGTGAGTGCCATCTAATAGTAGTTATCATTTCCTGGAAATGAGTTTAATAAAACTACCTTGAGTTAGTCATTGCTGGGTGCTGACATTATAAAGCAAATGCCAGCAAGGTAAATGCAATGTTATCATTTACTTCTTGAAATATAAAAGATCTGATTAGGAATATGAATATAAACAAGACTTTAAAAATATATAAAATGATACCAACTGAGAACCAAATGTCAGTGCATATACAACTTCAGATCTTCCAATGAACCACACTGTCTTTACCCCCATGCCTTGCCCACACAGTCACCACCTTGGAAGCTTCATAACTCAACTTTGGCATTCTGTGTTGGAAGCCCTTCCTCCCTCAGACTGGACTACTCTTCTTTTCCAACATGTTCTGTTGTAAGACTTACCCCTCTTGCTAGTTAATCATCAGTCATCACACTGCATTCCTTGAAGTCAGAGGTCAATCATATGTATGTGGGAGCTACATGTGTATCTCTGTCATATCTAATGCTGGACACATACAGGTAGGTTTGTTATGTTTACTAGGTCTCTGCTGAATGAACACATTGAATGAATATTTGCAAACAGAAAAGATTAGTCCAGATCATTTCATGAACTAGAAGATGATTCCCTGTGTAGCTATCTTAAGCAAAAATGTAATTTCTTTTTCCTTTCTTTTGCAAAGTTAGAGAACAGGAGGGAGGAACAGGTCCTGCCTGGGGTGGGGGGCAGGAGGGTGGCGGGGGCGGGGGGGGGAGAAGGGGTTGATACCAGTGGGAGGAGGTGGGGAAAGGGTGTAAGAGGGTGAATATGGTGCGAATACTGTGTACACATGAATGTAAACAGAAAAAAGATAACTGTTGAAAGTATTTCTCAAATGGGGGGATGAGGAAATAAAGAATAATGGTGGAGAGATGAATTCAAGTATGATACAGTTGATATATTATAAGAACCTTTGTAAATACCACAATGTAACCCTACACATCATGATCAAATAAAATAAATTGATTTGCAGTTACAAAGTCTTGAGTCTTTTTAAAAAGTACATCCTCAAATTACCTTAATCATATATAAATGTTGCAACACAAAGCAAGAGACACGAAAAGTCAAACACTTACAAGAAGCATCAACATAAAGGATCCCATAGAGATGATCAGGAAAAACAATGAAATCATAGTTAGAGTAAGAATTCCTCGAATCCACCAGTTTTTCCACCTACAAAGAAAATGTTTATAAAGTTAGTATTTAGTGTGCTCTTCAAGTTTCGTGTGTGGTTTCAGTATTGAGTTGCCAGACTTAGGAATTTTCCTAACTATTCTTTGAGAAACCCTACTTCATTTTCTTCATTTCATATAATAATAATGCAAACAAACAGCAGTCACTGAGAACTAAAAGTGTTAAATTATGTTATACAAAGAAAGTAATTGGTGTTAAATGTGAAGGGGATTAAATCATAAGGTTAGGGAGTTAGGTAGTCAATCTGGATGTGAACGTCAAATATCCCATCAGGAATCCTGTGAAGGGCAAGAACAGCCAGGTGCAAAAGTCCTAGAAAAGAAGAAGCTAGGTCTTTAAGCATGGTAGATAAGAACACTAATGGTTTAAGAAGTCGGTATAGATAGCACAGCCTGTTAACAAAAACAATAACGAATGGATAATACAGATCTGAAACTGGAGCGCAGCAATTCAGAGAAATTAAGGAGCAAGTTCCCTGTATTAACAAAGTCTGACCACTGAGGGTGAGGACAAATCCTAGGACACTTCTTTCTACTGCTTACAGAGTGCTGCCTGCTTTCTATGATTAGGGGCAGAGCCTTAAGTAGAAAAGTACTTTCTTAGCCTTAGGTCTTTCCTTCTTCCGTAGGGCAGAGCATCCCTGCAGGTGCAATGGCCAGCTCCTGCCAGGCTAAGAATTGATCCCTCTTATCCCTCTACTGTAAGGCCCTGAGCTGCCTGACAGTTCCCTCCATACACGCACACCAGGAGTCTCACACTTCATCCCCAGTATGCCTTATGTGACCACATCATTAAAAATGCTGGCAGCCGCTGTATGAAAAATCCAGTATGATTCTAATATGTGGATGAGAACTTCTGAATCATCTTGTGATTTCTAAAGCCAGGTACTACATACCTGTAGTCCCAGCAAGTCAAAGAGAGTGAGGGACAAGGATCACTTAAGTCCAGGAGTACAAGGCCAGCCTGGACAACATCATGAGACCCTATCTTAAAAAATAAATAAATAAAAACTCTGAATGTACCTATATGTGGATGATTTATGAATCTAAAACTGTTAGTTTTTCTTTAAGATTTTTACTAATTCAAATAATAGCATTTAAATTATGTTACAAAGATTCTGATTCAACTTAGTCTAGTAACATATATACTATAAGTACAGGTCCTCATTCCCTTTTTATAATGGAAATATTAGCTGATTTCATCCATTTATGAAATATTGATTACATTCCTTGCTTGCTATCACTAGCCTATGTAATTGCTTTTGTTTTCATTTCTTATGTACATTGAAATACACAAGTCTTAACTGTATCACTGACTGTTTTTCTTTTTTTTTTTCCTGGTTCTGGGAATTGAACTCAGGGCCTCAAGCATGGTAAGCAAGTACACTACACTTGAGTCCTGCCCCCAGCCTTTTGCTTGTATTTTATTTTTGAGATAAGGTCACACTAACTTTGCCCAGGCGGACTACAACTTGTGATCCTCCTGCCTCTACCTCCTGTTTTTTTTGTAATGGCACAGGATTGAACCCAGGGCCTCTTGCACACTAGGCAAGCACCATTACCACTGATTCTCATTCTACCCCTCTTCTACATAGTTTAGATATTTCTTTTTCAAATATTCCTTTTTCATGTCATTTCTGCACTTGGGGATCTAAAAATGCAACATTAAATCCATACACTTTTTTCTAGCTTCCAAGGTTTCTCTCAAGGTACTCAAATTGAACTTACTCCACTTTATTTCCTCTACTCTTTAATAGTTCTCATTAGACTATATATTTTAAGATTGATCTAAAAACATGTATAGAGTCAAATACTACAGTGGAAAGTTCCACTTAAGTTTTATAGACATATCTGTGGATTCATTAATGGATTAGGAAACTGAATAAATCACAAAGCTAGTCAGAGGTAAATAAAGGGACTTAAGCCAGCCACTGATGGTTACCCTCTCCTGTACATATGAAACCCAGCAGTATACTTAGCCCTGTTTTATAAATGAATCATGACACAAAATTATCCAGGCTTTCTTCTAGAGAAGAGCACACAACAGAAGTGTTAGAAATCAGTTCCCAGATGGTTACTAACAATGTCCAGATACTGCTCATGTCTGGCTTTGAGCTTCAGCAAATGCGAGCTGTTGAGAACAGAGATTTTAAACAGGAAACCCACTGTCTTCATATTATCCCCAAATTACATGGTAACTGAAAACTTGAGCTCTCAAGGGACATATTCTATTTAGCTGTCTTTTATTAAATAAGCATTTCCCCTCCCAGAAAAATTCTCCTCTCCCAATGGAGATTACATTTAATTTCCTTACTTTAAATGGTTCGCCTACAAACTTTTCAAGAATATGTAATACAAACTTATGTACACAGAAGATTAACACATGCTTAAGTAGAATGTATATATCCATTGATAATGTGACTTAGTCCATTTTCTGCTACTATAACAGAATACCTAAAAAACTGGAAAACCTATAAAGAACAGAAATTTACTTCTTACAGTTCTGGAGCTGGGAAATCTAGTACCAAATTCTGGCATCTGGTGAGGTTACTGCATTACTCCATGGTAGAAGGCCAAAGGGCAAGAGAGCAAGCAAGCAACAAGGGGCCAACTCAATTATTACAAGCCTACTTCTGTGATAATCAACCCACTCCCATGAAACAGTGTTGTCTAGTCATGACACCTATTCATCTAATCTATTACTGAGGGCTCTGCCCTTAGGACCTAAGCGCTTCTTATCAGGTCCCACCTCTCAGCACTGCTGCACTGGGGATTAAGTTTCCCACACATGAATTTTGGGGAACATATTCAAACCATAGCATACTATAACCCAAATCTGTCTGTCAACAGTAAAGCACTGAATTCAAAAGAGAATGATATGTGGGGGAAAAACATAATTGCTAAAATCCATGGAATGATCTGGGTTTGAATTTAAAATTCTTGAATTTCCTTTACCATACTACAATGATCATGAGGTACACACTTAAACTTAGGTCCAAGTCATTACACCAAAGTGCCACCCCCTTATTATTTTGAATAAATAAGCTCATTCTACTTCAGTATCCCTGGGACACTTATAAGCTACAAAAGAGTTTTTTTTAAAGTACATAATTAAGCAGCATCCTTAACGGTAATCATCTGAGGGATGGGGATAGAGTTCAGTGCACAAGACCCTCAGTTCAATCCCCAGCATGGAAAGAAAAAATAATCATCGTAAGTGGTCACATACTTCATCACATCAAATCACTTATGTGGTACACAAAGTCTCTTACTGTTACTACAACTAATAAGTGGCTTTCATTTTGAAAATACTTTAAAAATTAAATTACTGCCTTAGAGGCGAAAGCATCATGAGTCAGCAAGAACTTGGACTGCCGAGTAGTTCACTGTAGCCAGGAATGAGGACCCAGAGATAGCTCTCAAGCATAAACAGGATCTTGGAGAAAGCCCATCTACCAGAAGTGGATACAAGTGTGCAGGGTCTCCCAGAGAAAGAAGATAGTAGTATAAAGCTCTAAAGCACCAGACAGGCTGTATGGTCAGGAACTGGATCTACACAACTGGTCAGCTGAATGAAGACCTTTGCCTCCTCCCTATTTCAGAGCATATTGAAGACTTAAAAATGAGCCTGAGAGATTCCAAGAAGGTGGCTAGAGGGAGGAAGCAGGAAGCGTGCCTCCTAAAGTAAAATCTTGGAGAGACACTGGATATACACCTTACAGGAAAAACCACTGAGAAGAGTCAAAACTTTGACTTCTTTACATCCCCAGCCCGCACATAGCATGTCCACTTCATGTTAAACAGAGAAACCAGGAGGGCTCCTGGGCTGCTGCCAGATGCTAGCGCCCAGACGGCTTGTGAAGATGCAGACCACAAGGTGAGCTAAGCGGCACGTGGTACTCCCACAGACAACCCTGGGCCAGATCAGCATAGCCCCCTGGTCAGACCAACCCCCACCCAGGGAAAAAAGAAAAACTGAATAATAAGCAATAACAAAACAGACACTAGCAAAGAGGGAGGGGATCCTTGAGTGCTAAAGAGTGGGGGAGGGGAAATCCCTTACAGAACTGTAAATAAACAAGCCGGCCAGAAAAGGCAGGAGTGGTAGCACCCACCCAGCAACCAGGAGAGGGAAAGCTTGTAAAAGTGGTGGTGGGAGGAAAACTCCACAGGAGAGGGGGGAAGACCCACTTCCCACATGAACTGTAAACAAACACGCAGGCCTGAGAAAGCTGGTGCAGTGTCACCTCCCCCAGTGTGTATGGAAAGGGGAAAGCTTGTAACAGTGGTGGTCACACCCAGGAGAACTCTAAAAAAACAAAGCCTGCAGGGCCAGGTGAGTGTTAAGCTCACTCCTGAGATCTGCATAAATAACGCCTCCAGCAACAGCAGGCTGACAGCAGCGGGCAGATGAGCCACAGCCTCAGATACCATTCACATTACTGTATCCAGACTCTTTTTTTTTTCTCTCTTCCTTTGATGAGACAACAACTGAACTATACCTTACTGAAACTGTATTGCATTTGAACTTGGGACACTTTGTGGTGCTTTCTTTTTGTTTTGTTCTGTTTTGGTTTTGGTTTTGGTTTTTTTTGCCTTTGATGAGATGACAGAACTACTTCTGAGAAACCATCTCCAGGATTGGAGGCTGAGGGACTAACACCAAAATTATTAATTTGAACATGGAGATTTTTTTTTCAATCCTCTCTCTCTCTAATGCCTGTTTAGCTTACTGTTGATTAGTACACTATCTCTCCCTGTTTATATCTTTGAAACTTTTTTTTAATGTTTGTTTTTTTTTACTTGTGTATTTGTTTTTCCCTTTTTCCTTACCTTCTTTGCTTTCCCTCTCCTCTCACCCTTCCATTCTAAATATCACCATTGTTATTATTACAAGCTAGAAAATACTTAATTGCACACAGTTACAGGGACAATAACAACACCAATGGCAATGATAGGAAGACAGAAAAAAACAGGGAAACCAGTTTCCCAACAGCAAAAAATTAGTACAGGAACCAGAGAGAAATGAAGAAAACAGATACTCAGATCCAGACTCCAACAAAATGAAGATAAACTATGCCAAAGAACCCAATGAAGGCCACAAGAATAATCTAAAAGAAGAAATCCTACAGGTAATCAATGAGAATTTTATAGAGATGATACTGGATATGGTCAACCAAAATGTACAGGAGACACTCAAGAAATTCAAAGACAACAAAAATAGAGAATTTGAGAAAGCACAAGAAGAAATAAAACCATAGAAGTACTGTATAAACACCAAAGTGAAACAAAGAACACGATTAATAAAGAGAAAAATGAACTCAGGATGAAAATAGACAACATTAAAGAGGAAACAACTCAGGATATGGAAAACCTCAGAAAAAAGAACCAGACAAGGATGCCCACTATCTCCACTCCTATTCAACATAGTACTGGAATTCCTAGCCAGAGCAATTAGGCAAGAAGAAGGAATAAAAGGAATACAAATAGGTAAAGAAACTGTCAAAATATCCCTATTTGCAGACAATATGATCCTATACCTTAAAGACCCAAAAAACTCTACTCAAAAGCTCCTAGACACCATCAATAGTTATAGCAAGGTAGCAGGATATAAAATCAACATAGAAAAATCATTAGCATTTGTATACACTAATAATGAACAAACTGAGAAAGAATATATGAAAGCAATTCCATTGACAATAGCCTCAAAAAAAATCAAATACCTAGGTGTAAACCTAACAAAAGATGTGAAAGACCTCTACGAGGAAAACTACAAACTTCTGAAGAAAGAGATTGAGGAAGACTATAGAAAGTGGAGAGATCTCCCATGCTCATGGATTGGTAGAATCAACATAGTAAAAATGTCGATACTCCCTAAAGTAATCTACGTGTTTAATGCAATTCCCATCAAAATTCCAATGACATTCATTAAAGAGATTGAAAAATCTACCGTGAAATTTATATGGAAACACAGGAAGCCACGAATAGCCAAGGCAATACTCAGTCAAAAGAACAATGCTGGAGGTATCACAATACCCAACTTTAAACTATATTACAAAGCAATAACAATAAAAACAGCATGGTACTGGCACAAAAACCAGTGAAACAGAATAGAGAACGAAGACCAGAATGAAGACCAGTGGAACAGAATAGAGGACCCAGATATGAAGCCACACAACTATAACCAACTTGTCTTTGACAAAGGTGCTAAAAATATACAATGGAGGAAAGACAGCCTCTTCCACAAAAACTGTTGGGAAAACTGGTTAGCATTTTGGAGAAAACTGAAACTAGATCCATGTATATCACCCTATACCAATATTAACTCAAAATGGATCAAGGATCTTAATATCAGACCCCAAACTCTAAAGTTGGTACAGGAAAGAGTAGGAAATACTCTGGAGTTAGTAGGTATGGGTAAGAACTTTCTCAATGGAACCCCAGCAGCACAGCAACTAAGAGACAGCATAGATAAATGGGACTTCATAAAACTAAAAGCTTTCTGTCACAAAAGAAATGGTCTCTAAACTGAAGAGAACACCCACAGAGTGGGAAATATTGCCAGCTACACATCAGACAAAGGACTGATAACCAGAAATATATAGGGAACTTAAAAAACTAAATTCTCCCAAATTGATGAACCAATAAAGAAATGGGCAAGTGAACTAAACAGAACTTTCTCAAAAGAAGAAATTCAAATGGCCAAAAAACATGAAAAAATGCTCACCATCTCTAGCAATAAAGGAAATGCAAATTAAACCACACTAAGATTCCACCTCACCCCTGTTAGAATAGCCATCATTAGCAACACCACAACAACAGGTGTTGGTGAGGATGCGGGGAAAAAGGAACCCTCTTACACTGCTGGTGGGAATGTAAACTAGTACAACCACTCTGGAAAAAAATTTGGGGCTACTTAAAAAGCTAAACATTGATCTACCATATGATCCAGCAAATACCACTCTTGGGATATAGCCAAAAAGAATGTGAACGGTTACTCCAGAGACACCTGTACACCCAGTATGTATTGCAGCACTATTCACAATAGCCAAGTTATGGAAACAGCCAAGATGCCACCACTGACAAATGGATTAAGAAAATGTGGTATTATAATATACAATGGAATTTTATGCAGCCATGAAGAAGAACAAATGTTATCATTCACTGGTAAATGGATGGAATT